ACATTTATTATTCACATTTATTACAGTGTTAGTGTAATTACAATTACTTGTATCCTTTGGTATCTGGATGAGCATTGGCCTTCCAGAAAGCTCAGCTTCACACCTATGAACATGGATTGTATTTTATTTTATACTTTTTATTCTCTACATGATCATAAATACTGAAAATATGGTAGAATTTTTTTTTCCAATTCCTTTTTTTAAGTTGTAAACAGCTTATTCAAATAAGAATCTTTCTGAATCTGTGTATTGTAAACAAATGAGTTTGATAGCAGAATTTTTCTTCAATTCTTTATCATATTAAAACTGAATGCATTAAAACATTTCAATAAAATGTGGAGATTCATTATCTCATGGGCATCATCTCCTGCTGTCTTTTTTTTTTGGGGGGGTGGGGTCGAGCCTCACCAACTAGTTTGCCAGCATCTTTCATAACAATAAATCGTTTTTAAATATTCAGATTTGAGCATTAATATTCTTGCTCAGCATTTGCCTTGACATTTTTTTTCTTTTACCAACAGTAGGCAGCTTTTCAAACAAATCTGAATGCATTAAGACATTCTGATGAAACTACACACCAAATAACATGACATTACTGTGCATGCATAAACATATACTCTCTGACAGGGTTACACAATTGGCAGTAAGATGCCACTAAATTACCTATTATAATGTGTGACATTCAAATTCTTTTGTTGCTGCTGTTGTCCACACTGGCATTCTTCAAACCACTAAAGCCTTACCCCTCCACCATGACTTGCAAAATCTCCTGCCTTCTATGTGATTGCTATCAGCAAAACCAGAATGACAACAACCCAAATCCTGTTCAGTTCTACCGATCCTAGTCAGTGCTGCCATTCACATATCAGTATTAGTACCTATGCTGTCAGGGCTTCCTCAAATGGCCAATTCACCAAGAGAATGAAACACTTCTGGTGGTAAGCATCATTCAAACCTAAGGGAGTAAAACAATTTGCTTTTGATAACACACCCTATCTATAATCTCTTGCCCCTTTTGATTTGTTTCCCTTCAATATGTTCAATAAGTGGATTCTTCATGCCTCCTCCAGAGATTTTGGTAAAATGTTGCATCTCCTGGGGTTTTGTTAGCCCAGATTAGGCTCTCTCAACTTCTGGCTCTTCTCAATATGAATATATATATATATATATATATATATATATATAATCATCCCATAAGTTCTGTCCAAATTTTGAATAAAGAAAAAAAGTGACCAAATGTTACATTTAATTACAGATTCAATCAACAATGTATTTTCCCTGATTATCTATGACTTCCTTCCATCTATTAACAAGCTTACTAATTCCATTACTGTAAAATTCTTTTGGATTTGATTCGAAGAACTCACAAATGTCAGTTTTAACCTCTTCCTGTGTTACAAAAGCTATTTCTTCAAAATGATTCTGTAAGCTACGAAACAAATGGTAGTCTGAAGGAGCAAGATCGGGAGAATAAGGTGGACGAGGAATTTTCTCCCAACCAAGTTCTTCGATCTTTTGTGACGTGATTCTTGCTGTGTGGGTTCGCGTATTGTCCTGATGAAACATCACCTCTTTTCGATTCACTAGAGCAGGTCTTTTTTTCCTCAAAGCTTGGTTCAAATGCTCTAATTGCTGAGAATATATTTGAGCATTAATTGTTGCATTAGGTGGTAGGAATTCTAAGTGGATTATTCCTTGGCGATCCTACCAGATTGAAAGAAGAACCTTTTGCCCGTGAAGTTCCCTTTTCGGCTGTGGCCCTTCTCCTTTACCAAGCCACTGTCTACGATGCTTAACATTTCAATAAAAGATCCATTTTTCATTGCCAGTCACAAGTCTATCCAAAAAAGGTGAAACAAGTTGGCGAGAATGGAGAGAAGAGCAGATGTCAACTCGCAATTTGAGGTTGTTTTCAGACAATTCATGAGGCACCCATTTTCCAAGTTGTTGAAGATGATGATGAACAGTTGTATGGTTTGAACTGAGAACCACTGCCAACTCCTCAACTGATAAAGCAGGATTTTCTTCAAGGGCTGCTTCTAGAAGCTTTTCATCAAACTCAACCGGACGCCCGGTTCGATCTTCATCTTCAAGGGTGAAATCTCCACCTCTGAATTTTGCAAACCATCTTCTGCAAGTTCTTTCATTCACACATTCCTCTCCATAAACTGAATGAATGTTTCTAGCCACTTTGGCTGTTGAGTTTCCTTTCTTGAACTCATAAAGCATTATGTGCCTCAAATGATTCTTGGGTACTTCCATGTTAGCAGGGTTTTAATCAAACAAAATTTAATTTTATTGTTCTCTGAAATAAAATTTGATCAGTTTAAATGCATCTAAACATAAAAATAATGTTCTGCTCCATTAGACATTATAAAATACTCTTTAAATTTCGTTCATTTTAACAAAAAGTTAAAATTCGGACAGGATTTATGGGATGACCTGATATATATATATTTATATATATATATATATATATATATATGTTATGGGACCTTACCCATAATAACATAATGGACTATTCCATACGTAATAAATACTGCACCTCAAGAGGAAGCAGGTAGTTCAGTCTGGAGTGAGGTCTGTCAGAAGTCTGTCACTCAGTCGGTCGAGTCAGATGCAGTCCGAAACAGAGTCTTGTTCAGACAAGTACTACTAAACCTGATTGTTCGTACTAACACTTTCTACTTCTCTGTATATATTCCTGTTTGTAATATATCTGTGTTATTCCATTTCCGTGTTCGAGTTCTTCAATATTGGTTCTACCTTGGACTATCACTGTGGTACAAGGACCATAACAAAATATATATTTAATCATTTCACTCCAAGCAAGACAATAAAGCCACTAAGAATCGAGTGGTTACAGGGAATGAAAGGGGATTAGAAAACTTTAGTGAGAAGCTCAATAAAAGAACAGATTTTAGGAAGGCACAAGATGGCAATTGATGTTGTACTTAAATTTTTGAAGACTGTAGATGGCAGAAAAAGCAAGAAACCTGAAGGGAGTTCCACAGGTGAGAAGTGCAAGAAAAGAAACTATTAGAATAGAACAGACCCTTGCATTGAGCTATTTCAACAGCAAAATAATGAGACCTAGTTGTCATCAGTCTTATGAAACGCTTAAACTAATTAAGTCAAGGAACTGTTTGAATGGTAAAACCTTGGCAATTGCAAACGAGGATTTTGTAGCTTGTTTTGGAAAGTGGAAGAGATTCTTAGATGAACTAGATTCAAAGGCATCATTACTCTAGAGACACATGGCCCAATGGATAAAAGTGTTGGTTGGATCCAGTAACTTTACCCAAAGAATTGCAAGTTCAATACCTGGCAGTGGTGAACAAAAACTTGGAGAATTGAGTTAAAGAAAGATAACTGAGACATCTGGAAGAGGCATGGCATGTGGAAATAGAACAATCTACCCCAGTGGATGAAATAAAGGGTTCAGTTCAAATTCTAATCACCTGAAGATGGTCAAAGTGTATAATGGCCAAAACATTGTGAATATGGCAATGAAGATGAGAATAGCAATGTAAATAATGCAAGTAATCATAATGCCTCATCTCAGAGATATAGACTTAATTATATTGATTTAACACACTTTAAACACTCTTATCTTTCCATCTTTCTTACTTACACTTTCTCACTTGTTGCAGGCTTCAACACTTTTTGATGAGATTTTTATGCTTCTGGTACACACTAACAAAAATGATTTTAAAAAAAAAAAAAAAAATTTTTTATAAAGTAGAATTGTTTTGCAACACACTGATACATGTTAAAATCCTCACAGTATTTAGTATTGTTGAAGTTATTGCTGACATTTTTTGTCAAGATTTACAAACTATATGTTTGTTCAATTTTGCAAACTAGTTGATGAAATTTAAATAAGCAGATGTGTTTGGAAAAATACTTTAACAAAATCCCTACTACAGTTTAACAATTTGATTTTATAGGTCTTCATAGCAAACTATTTTTTTTCCTTTTTAACAGCAAAGAATAAATTCTTAGGATTTCTTACTCTTGAGCATGCAGCATACAACAGGCCATGCATAAATACTTCTTTCTGGTCAAATTCGAACATTTTGAAGCATATGGCCTTGTGATTTGATTATAGTTCTTGCAAACGTAGGGTGAACTGGATACTGGATTCTTGTATATAAAAACTAAAAAGATATGCAAAAAAAAACAATATTGCATTTTTATTAAATAAGTATTTTAATCATTAAATTGTTTTTAAAATAGTGGGAATATTTTGTATGTTAAATAATAAAACTACTTTTTCCATCTTTAGTAAAACCAACTGCATTTTGTACCCCCCTTACCTGTTTGCACTTCTCCACAAAATTTGCTTTTGATCAATCAGTGTATGGTTACTTTAGAGGGTGTAAAAGACAGACTAACAGAAGTCACAGAATTTTATATAGAGATTATCAGTTCTCTATATTGTAAACTATTTTATATGAGAATTTTATTCAAAATCCTTGTTCTAAATGAACATAGTTTTATTTTTCATAGATGCTATTTTGTATATTTTTATTTTTAATTGAAACTCTACCTTCTCTCACCTCATATTCAATCAGCATCTTTCACAACTGGGCCATATTGGTGGGGGGGGAGAGCTAGTGATATGAACTCACCTCACCATACATAATTTTTCCTCCATTTGATTCACAGACCTGTAAACATTGACTGGAAAACCATTAAATAGATGAATTTACCCAGACAGATATGTCATATGGTACCTGTAAGATTTAATTTAACTGTATATCAGGCTGAGTCAGTGGGGGACGCTCCAAAAGTAATGCTTCCCATTCATTTCCATAGACATTGTAATAAATGCAAAGAGTTGAATAGAGTAAGTTTTCAGCTAGAAATCAGTGTTTTTTGCCCCATAATTACCACCAACGGCTGTGCATTTTTGTTAGCAATTTGCAAAATATGCACCAGGGGAAACAAAGGACTTTCCTTTTGGTTTCCTTCCCTTGTACCTTGTCCTCCTCCTCATGTTCTCGGCTTCCTTCCCCAGTATCTCGACCTCCTCCTCCACGTGTTCTCAGATTCCTTCCCCAGTATCTCGACCTCCTCCTCCACGTGTTCTCAGATTCCTTCCTCAGTATCTCGACCTCCTCCTCCTCTTGTTCTCGGATTCCTTCCCCAGTATCTCGACCTCCTCCTCCTCTTGTTCTCGGATTCCTTCCCCAGTATCTCTGCCTCCTCCTCTTGTTCTCAGATTCCTTCCCCAGTATCTCTGCCTCCTCCTCCTCATGTTCTCAGATTCCTTCCCCAGTATCTCTGCCTCCTCCTCCTCATGTTCTCAGATTCCTTCCCCAGTATCTCGGCCTCCTCCTCCTCATGTTCTCAGATTCCTTCCCCAGTATCTCGGCCTCCTCCTCCTCATGTTCTCAGATTCCTTCCCCAGTATCTCTGCCTCCTCCTCATGTTCTCAGATTCCTTCCCAGTATCTCTGCCTCCTCCTCCTCATGTTCTCAGATTCCTTCCCCCCAGTATCTTCCCCTGCCTCCTCCTCCTCATGTTCTCAGATTCCTTCCCCAGTATCTCTGCCTCCTCCTCCTCATGTTCTCAGATTCCTTCCCCAGTTCTCAGATTCCTTCCTCCTCCTCCTCTCTTGTTCTCAGATTCCTTCCCCAGTATCTCCTCCTCCTTGTTCCTCATTGTTCCCAGATTCCTTCCCCAGTATCTCTGCCTCCTCCTCGTGTTCTCAGATTCCTTCCCCAGTAGCCTCCTCCTCCTGTTCTCAGATTCCTTCCCCAGTATCTCTGCCTCCTCCTCCTCATGTTCCGGATTCCTTCCCTAGTATCTCTGCCTCCTCCTCCTCATGTTCTCAGATTCCTTCGCCAGTATCTCTGCCTCCTCCTCTTGTTCTCAGATTCCTTCCCCAGTATCTCGGCCTCCTCCTCGTGTTCTCAGATTCCTTCCCCAGTATCTCTGCCTCCTCCTCCTCATGTTCTCAGATTCCTTCCCCAGTATCTCTGCCTCCTCCTCCTCATGTTCTCAGATTCCTTCCCCAGTATCTCGGCCTCCTCCTCCTCATGTTCTCAGATTCCTTCCCTTGTATCTCGGCCTCCTCCTCCTCCTCCTCATGTTCTCAGATTCCTTCCCCATGTTCTAGATTCTCGGCCTCCTCCTCCTCCTCATGTTCTCAGATTCCTCTGCCTCCCCTCCTATCTCGGCCTCCTCCTCCTCCTCATGTTCTCGGATTCCTTCCCCAGTGTCTCTGCCTCCTCCTCCTCATGTTCTCAGAGTCCTTCCCCAGTATCTCGGCCTCCTCCTCCTCATGTTCTCGGATTCCTCTTCTTGCTCTCTGCTTCCTTTTCTGGTATTTATGTCCCCTTTTGTTATGCTACTTAATCTAGTTCTAACATGTTAGTCTGAAAGGCCCACATCTGATGACAAGTCCAGCTGCATATTACCAACCTTGCTTCAACATTAAATGGGAAAATGTAAAAAGTAAATTTAACAAACTAGGAAGAACCATGAAAATTTCACTGTTTTTATCTTTTAATATTCTGATAAAGCCTTAATAAAGCGAATAAGCTTGTGACGAGTTCAATGATGATAAAATATCCGTAGAAATTTCCCTATTGCATTGTTAAATATTTGAATTGCAATAACAACAATCATAAATGCTGTTATTTTAAGAAATGGTCAGAACAAAAGATTTGAAATTGACAATTTTTTCCATTTCACTGAAAGAGCCATCAAACACTTCTATGTTTATTTTTCTCTTTCTCTTTCTTTCCTTCCTTCCTCCTCTCTTTCCTTCCTTGCCTCTTCTTCTTTTCTTCCTTCCTTGCCTCTTCTTCTTTTCTTCCTTCCTTGCCTCTCTCTCTCTTTCTTTCCTTCCTTGCCTCTCTCTCTCTTTCTTTCCTTCCTTGCCTCTCTCTCTCTTTCTTTCCTTCCTTGCCTCTCTCTCTCTTTCTTTCCTTCCTTGCCTCTCTCTCTCTTTCTTTCCTTCCTTGCCCTCTCTCTCTTTCTTTTTCCTTCCTTCCTTGCCTCTCTCTCTTTCTTTCCTTCCTTCCTTGCCTCTCTCTCTCTTTCTTTCCTTCCTTCCTTGCCTCTCTCTCTCTTTCTTTCCTTCCTTCCTTGCCTCTCTCTCTCTTTCTTTCCTTCCTTCCTTGCCTCTCTCTCTCTTTCTTTCCTTCCTTCCTTCCTTGCCTCTCTCTCTCTTTCTTTTCCTTCCTTCCTTCCTTGCCTCTCTCTCTCTTTCTTTCCTTCCTTCCTTCCTTGCCTCTCTCTCTCTTTCTTTCCTTCCTTCCTTCCTTGCCTCTCTCTCTCTTTCTTTCCTTCCTTCCTTCCTTGCCTCTCTCTTTCTTTCCTTCCTTCCTTCCTTGCCTCTCTCTCTCTTTCTTTCCTTCCTTCCTTCCTTGCCTCTCTCTCTTTCTTTCCTTCCTTCCTTCCTTCCTTGCCTCTCTCTCTCTTTCTTTCCTTCCTTCCTTCCTTCCTTGCCTCTCTCTCTCTCTTTCTTTCCTTCCTTCCTTCCTTGCCCTCTCTCTCTTTCTTTCCTTCCTTCCTTCCTTTGCCCTCTCTCTCTTTCTTTCCTTCCTTCCTTCCTTGCCTCTCTTTGCTTTTTTTTTGGACTGTTATTATCTTCATCTTTGTTATTTTTAGTACACCATTTTGACTAATACTTTTGTTCTTTCTGTATCCTGTGAACTTCTGAGATGAAGAATTTTCATTATCCCATTTGTTTTGTTTTTCTGTTTTTCTGTTTTGACCAATATACTCTCCAGCCTTCCACAAATTCTTAATTTAGATCTTTTGACTGACACTGTGGCTTGACAGGATTTCATTCATTTGTGATGAAACGACCTCCCACATTATCTCACTGCACGTGCCAATATAAATAATTTAAAATAAAAGTATAATTAAAGGAAAAAAAAAAAGAAAAAAAAAAAGATGCTTTTACCCAATGAGCCACATTATCTTGAGATTTGCAAAAACCTTCCTGATGTGATTTTTGAGGTGTGAACGCTGCCACATTGGTGTACGGACACGGGTGTTGAATCTAATTAGTTTGTTTAAAATTGCTGCACCCATAACTGAACAAAAGCAATCTTTAAATTGCTCCTTTTCCAAATATAATTAGAATTTTAAGAAGATAGCAAATTTAAAGAAATACATTTAAATGATGGAAGGGAAAACCAAAAAAAAAATGACAATAATACTAACATTCAATCCATTTGTTGAGTGGAATTACAAATTGTCATTTTCTACAGAATGGTTGTAACTTAAAAGAAACACCTTAACGAGCATCCTAATCAAAATGCTGGCATGATTATTTTGTCTTTGTTTTTTTCAAAACATTATTGTATCAATTATGGTATGTTCTGTTAGCAGATGAATTCAAATTAGCATAGTATCCATAAAAAATAATGGTATTTTTACGTATGGATTGCCTAGAAGCATTGCAATTTCTGTGCACCGTGCCTCAGATCAAAATTATGCTTTCCAGCACTTCCGCCTAGAATTGGTGTAGTACCTGTGCACCATGCCTCAGATCAAAATGATGCTTTCCAGCACTTCCACCTAGAATTGGTGTAGTACCTGTGCAGCATGCCTCAGATCAAAATGATGCTTTCCAGCACTTCCACCTAGAATTGGTGTAGTACCTGTGCACTATGCCTCAGATCAAAATACACATTTCTCAGTACTTCATGCATGTCCATCTGCTAGCTTCTTCTTTTTGAATTGATTTTAGTAGCTTCAACTCTTTCTTATTTGCTATAAATGTTATTTTTAGTCCCTACAAATATTTCACTTGTATGCTCCGGTCTTCTTCAGGCGGTTGGAATGTCAAATATGTTCTTGGAATGTCGAACATGTTCAACCACCTGAAGATGGCCAGAGCATACAACGGCCGAAACGTTGTAATAAATATGGCAACAAAGATGAAGACAATAGTCCGAATAATGTAAATAGTGTACATAATACCTCATCTCAGAAATCTAGACAGATCCTGAAGATCACTTGAGGTTTTAGCTGAATGTTTTGTAGCAATTTGTGGTGTTAGGTGAAGCTACTTCTACTATAATCCATCTTCTGTATTAAATAATATGTCTACTTCTCTAAAGACTTGCTAAAAGATGAGTGTATTTGTTGGAAAGATCCCCAAAACTGGATGAAAACCAAGTTTTATCATCAAAATCTTTGTTATTAAGAGAAAAGACCAAAGGATTTTTTGATTATTAAATTATATTTCTTTAATTCTTTTTAGAACCTTCAAAATTTTGGTTAAAAATTTTGTTTTTCTGGTGTCAACAGGGGGACCCTAAATTTTTAAGTGAAAAAATCAGACATTTGTCAGATTTTAATGAAACTTTTCTCTTTTCTTTCTTTTCTCTTTTCTTTCTTTCCTCTTTTATTCTCTTTCCTCTTTTATTCTCTTTTCTCTTTTATTCTCTTTTTTCTTTTATTCTCTTATTCTCTTTTTTCTTTTATTCTCTTTTTTCTTTCTTCTTTCTTTTATTTTTTCATTTCATTTTTTTTTACATGTGTTACCTCCCCCCCAAAAAAAAAAAACTTATTTAAAGTTATGAAACTTTGCAAAATTCTTTTTTGTAGCACTTAATATTCTAGTTATAAGGACAAGTACTCAAAGAACTTAATCAAACTTTTGGTTCAAGAACAACCCTAGTTATAAAAAATTTGTTCTGAATTATAAAATAAAACTGAGGCATTTAGTTAGAAAACCTTTGCTTTTATAAATAACATACTTTATAGACAGTATAGTCTTAAGAAAAAAAAAAATTTGATGTATAAATAATTTTTAATTGCTTTCATTTTTTTATAAATTTTAATTAGAATAATTTTAAAACTTTTAAATCTTAAAATTATGTATTAATTTGTAATGGTCAAGTGATATTGTTATTAAATAAAAATCAAAGTACCTAAAATATAAAAAAAATATTAGAATGCTTAAAATATTTAAAATTTTTAAGATTACTTGATAGTTAAAAATAATATAAAAAAAAAAATCTAAAATGATGTTTATATTGTGTCTGTCATGTAATTTTATTGCAATTATCTACTCCTTACATAATGTCCCAAAACTCAGGTTGTCAATAAATTTATCAACACCTCATAAAAACACCCACCGCCATGTTAAACAAATGCTTTTCTGCAATTAAAACTAAGTAATATTTGTTACTGGGTACTCTTATATACTAATAAATATACAGTTTGATGCAACTCTGAGTTCATGCACATGGCAATCATCAGGCCCAACTTAAAAAAAAGCACTCACTGTGCTATATATATATATATATATATATATATAATCTCCAAATGAGAGACTAGATGGAGTAAAATTTCACTGTTCCTAGCATTTAAAATGTTTAAAAAACAGTGCTCACTACAAAGTAGAGCAATATATTATTATTATTTTTATTATAAAAGATTAGAATAAAAACATGTTGAAATCACTACACAAAAACCTTCCTGTTTCAATACTTTGATTGTACTTCTTCAGGTGAATGTAAGTAAAATTATGAACACAAAATAAGTTGAGAAAGACAGAAATTTACTAAAGTAATTAGAAAATTAGTTAATGAGGACAAGTCGCATAACTTTGAGGACAAGTCTCCCTAGAATGAACAAAGCCAGCATTTCAATGTGACCCATCGTATCTGGAATTTGTAGCACTCCCTATAGACTGGTGCACGCCATAATAAAAATTTGAACACTCTTTTAATCTTCTTGAAACAGTCACCCTAAAAACACACCTCCTTGAAACAATCACATTAAAAATTCAGGCAACTAGGTTGACTGGAAAGTGTGGAACTTGAGTAGTGACCCAAGCTGTGTATTATTGATGGTTGATGCTGTGAAGCATTTTTTTTTCTGTTTGGATAGCCTGGACAATGATCACTCTCATCTCCTGCTTGGGGTTACTTACTATCACCTGAAGAAGTACAATCAAAGTATTGAAACATGAAAGCTTTTGTGTAGCGATTTCAACGTTTTTTTGTTATAATCTCTTATAATAAAAATAATATATATATATATATATATATATATATATGTGTGTGTGTGTGTGATTGAGAGAGAGATGGACATAAATAAATGTGGGCATGAAGTCTGAACTATCCATGAGTTTATCTGTCATATTTATTCCCCTTCAACCAGGTTGCCTGAATTTTTAATATGTGAAGGGTTAATTGTCTGAAGAAGTGGTCTTAATTTTTTTTTTTTTTTGTTATGACTTTCACCCGTCTATTGGGAACACTTCCAATTCCAGATATGATGTGTCATATTGTAATGCTGGCTTTGTACATTTTAACTAGACAATGCTTTCCTTCAGGGATTAATTACTGCCGCTTTAGAAACAAACAACAAAAGAACTCTATCACAAACA